AACCGGCCGAGAAGGAGATCGCGCAATAGAAGTGCACGCTTTCCTGGATCCGAAACAAAACCATCCGGAGTTTGGAGTGGCGGAGCAGCAGATGTAGGTTGCGGTTTAGCCCAGCGTGCCATCCGATACATGTCGATGTCTGTTGTAGCTTCCGAGAACTCTCGCCGCCAGTATTGGCGTTTCGCACTTCTGACTTTGCGACGGAAGTCCTTTCTACTCTCTTCGTCCCTGAATATCCTATATTCGCGTTTGGCCTGTAAGCACTCCAACGTCCACCAAGGTGCCGTCCTACCCTTCTTCGCACTCCCGCGTCTTCCGATAGCCCTGATAGCATCGCTGATGGTTTGAACCAGTTTATCCGCAAGGTTGTCCACCGCACTTGTTGAGACCATAGGCTGCATCCCTATTCCATGGGCCCACCTACCTAGTACCTTGGCGAAGTCTTCGAGTGCGTCGTCTGTCACTCGTACCGGTTGGCCCGTTTTGATGACAGCTCTGGCTTTCGAGTTCGGGCGGGGAACGTCTCCTGCAAGCGTTCTGTGGTCCGATGTTGAGTCAAGCTCTGTCGAGACATCTGCAAGGGCGCCAGCGTTGGACCAGACCAGGTCGAGTGTGTTTCCAAAGTCGTGTGTCGGGACGCCCGGTGTGGAAGATAGGTTCATACCGTGCTCGAACATCCAATCGGTGTGACACCTGGCCGTCACCGTGTAGCCTAGTAGCCATTGGCTGCCAGTCGGTGTGAACAGCATTGAAATCTCCGCCAATAACTGTAGGCCCAGATAGAGCCCATGATAGCAGCGGCAAAAGGTCTGCTCCAGGAGCGCGGTAGACGGAGACAAATGTGACTCCTTCTGCCGTTACTGCGGTGAGATCTGGTGATGCTTCGCAGATTGCTTGCTGTTGGCATTTGATCCCTTTTCGCGTGTAGATGAGGGAGCGTGGCCTTGAAGAGTTGGCAGCGACACGGGGAGGCAAATGCCTATCGAATCCGGGATGCGACTTGGTGAGCCAGAGGCCGTCCTTGTGTTGAGCCCAGGGTTTCTGGATAAGTAGGATATCGGTTCCTGAATCCCAAGCGGATTGCAGGATGATGTCCGTAGCCGGGTCTCCTCTGCCTAGATTAGCGCAGAGGAACGAGATCGTTGTTGCCGTTTTTTTGAAGCTCGGTTGGGTTGTGGTCCCTAACGGACATTGAGCAACGTTTATATTTTCGTTTTCAGCAGTAGCTTCGGTGGCTTTCTGCTTTGCTTCCATCTCTCTGATCGAAGCATTCCTTTCTTTTTGACCCTGCTCGCGGATCACCGACAGCTGGTCCCTTGTGCGTTGCACCGTCTTCCCATCAGCCCGTGTCGGCCTAGCCATACAGTTAAGCTCAGTTGCAGCATGTGTTCCGTGGCAATTGATGCACTGTAAGGATTCCTCTTCCGATCCTTTCTTTAGGATATAATTTTACCTTTCTTCATATGTTGCTATGACAACAGGACAGTTCTTGGCACATGGTATCATGTTGATATTATGTTAAGGTCTATGTTATGATGAGCTAGTGAAAGGAAGGCAGGTATATATATAATGGTTTGGTCTGTAGGCATAGAGTTCTTTACGCTTAGTCTTCTGTCATAACCACCACCTTCGGATCACCTCTGGTCACCTATAGTCACCTCTAGTTACCTTTAGCATCTTTAGTCACCATTAGTATTTGCTCGTACCTTTAGACTCTTTAGACACTTATACTACCCATTTTTAAACCTTTAGTCCTCCAAATTATCTCCAGTGGATCTTTAGTCATCTCTCGCGATTCATCCGACCCCTTCTTGCCATTCTATTCCGCCTCAGGTCAAACGCCTACGCTCCAATTTGACATGCACCTTGGAACGACCTGTTTGCACTCAGTAGCTTTGTGCCCAATGGAGTCACAGCGGGAGCAGCGCTCTACTCGTGAGCAAATCTTGGTTGGGTGGTGTCCTCAGCATTGGTTGCATTGCGAAATTTTGGGCTTGCGCTGAAGTTCGTGAAGGCGTCCTCTTTCTTCGAACAGTCTTTCTCCAAGCTTCGATTTCCCTGTTGCGAGGTGCAACACCCAGTTTGTTGACGGCCTGGCCATGCTAGTAGCGAAAGCACGAGCCGAGGTTGGTCTAACTCCTGTTTTGAGAGCTGCTTCTTCTATTACCATCTCTGGTGTCACTATGGTGGGCCCTTCCAGAGTGTAAAGCTTGTCTGGGACATTCGGTGCCAGGACTGATATCCAATTAGAGGCGGCTTCCAATTTCATTTCAGAACTGTCTAAGATGGCTCCTCCTGAGAGAAGTGCACCTCTAGCTCCTTCCCCTTCCGCTTGTATTGCGAACCCTGAGTTCACGACAGTGACCTGTTTGATTGTCGAGTTTGCCAGACGCAGCTTGCTAGCTAGGCTAATCTTTACGAAGTGGGGTGACATACGTCTCCAAGGGTGGTCAGGTCCGAGGCGCAAGAATACGCGCTCGTCAGGTCGCTGGGGGTTTGTTGATGGAGCTTTAGGCTTCGGCGCGGAGAAGGGCCTCGTTGGCACTGTCTTGAGTGTTGAAGTTGGAGCCACTTGGTTTGCTGGCTTGTTTCTTTTTCCCAACACCTCGGTCCAAGATTTCTCTGTAGCGTTGTTGTTGGTTATGTTTGAGCCCTGGTTGGGCTGGAGAGTTGCGGTTGTGGCTACCGGCCTTTGTGGTGCCGGTCTGTTCTTTTCTCTGGCAAGGATCAGCACTGGACGTGTGACGCTTGCAGGACTTTGTTTTGGAGGCTCTGTAACTTGAGCCGGATTAGATGTGTTAGTATGGCCGCTTGCAGCCTTTGGGGGAGCGTTGGCGTCTGCTTGAGATGGGTTGCCCCATAGAATTTCCAGTATCTTGCCCTGAGGGGCCAGTAAGTCCTGATCAAAGAGTTTTCGAATTCTCTCGTCAGTGACTGGTTCCAACAGCTTGCAGAACCCGATGATGAAACGCTCTGCTTGTGCAGAGCGCGTCTGGAATATCCTGCCCTGTTCGGCGAGGAATTCGGTCGCGACAATTTGAGGCGACGGAGTTTGTTGGTGGGGCGAGCTTCGATGACTCGCCTGGTAGATTGGCTCTACAAATTGTTGGGTGGGTGGTTGTGATGGCGGTTGTGGCCCGTTAAGGACCATTTCGACGTCTTGACGCGTCGAACATTGAGTGGGGAGGGGGAGCCAGGGGCCAGCCTCTGCGGAGGACTGGGGCGGCATGGGTGATTGAGAGATTATTAATTCATTTTATTGTCCTGTCTGAGTCTATGACTATGTAGGACATGCAGGTCCTCCCTGCCTACAGGCCAAGGATACCTATGCCAGTAGTATATCCCCTCCTATGCCTCCCATACAGCTCCCCTCAAACAGTACCACCCCTCACAAGTCCTCATTCGATCATAAACTAAGAGGAGCCCTTAGCCCATCATTATCTCCCCTCTCCAGCCAACGAAACGATAGCCATTTGCGGATGTATGGCAGCCGGGAAAACTCGCAAAAACCACTGGGTGCGGGGCTCTTCTAATACCGACATTGGGAATAAATCCGAAGACATATTGCCCCTTCTGAAGCGTTCAAAGAGGCCGGCCAGCTGGGCGCTGCAAACTTGTGTGTACCTCGGGAAATTCACCCTCTGCCTTTCTAGCCTCCTTCCAACTCCTTCCCGAAAGTCGTGCCGAAATGTCAGAAATGTCTTGATAGAGCGTGATTGCTGTATAGTAGCTTAGCCCAACATCTTTCGTGCCGTCCAGGGCGCTGGGGAGTACCGTTGACTCATCGACAAAAGAAGCCCTCCTGGCTAATTAGCCGAAATCTTGGTCTTGGCGCCCACAAAAAATCCAAAGTTGAAAACTCCTCGAAAATGTCAATCCCAGCATGGTCTTCAGGGACTTCTTTGTCCTCTCGCTCCACATCTCAGCCGCTTGTTCTTCCTCAAGATGTATAACCCCATTAGAGCAGCAGTCCCTCATAAACCAAGACCCCAACTTTGTATTTTGCGACTTGATTTCCTCCTTGCGGGTATAAATAGCGTCGTAAATATGTAAAGAGTGATGGCCGGTAATGAATGAGGCAAGCTCCTGTTTGCAATTGGGGTGATGCCTTTATCGGTCGTCGAGGCGAAGTGATATGTGGTTAGATCGGGGTTGAGGACTCAGAAGATAATGATGAGTGCTGCATGGTTGAGAAGTCTTCAAATGGAGATATACATGTGTTTGCTTTCGACTTCGATTCGGATGCGATTCTTCTTGGCTATCCCAGATATGCAGAGCATACTGAGCGATTACACCGGCACCACTGTAAAGTGAAGAATTCGTCTTTGCCGGCAGATGATTGAGAGATGAATGTGTCAGTAAAATGTCGTAGGTAGAATGCGATATTGTCACTTGAAAAAATCATGGACAGAGTGCTCCAGGACTTGTGAAGGATACTTTAGAAAATTTCCTAGTCTCCTTTCGGACTTAGATGTTATAAAGTGGGTCCGTGTACTGCATTTGAGAAATCTAGAACCATGCCCTCACCCAACTACACCACACGAACGAGTATACACCATCCTGCGTGATAGAACCTTGGGTTTGATAATAGGTACGACCAGTGATACCAGCGCTACCTAAATTGCAGAAAGATTCTTTTTAGTATCGATATAGACAATACCGGCCTGGTATGTAACCATGTATCAGTTGAGCTCGTATCTAATCAGTCCCTCAGTATCTCTTCCTCTAATCGAACGATCCCTTTAGGTTAGTGCGAGCCGTGTAGAGTTCCCTACTTAGCTCTACGAACTTCATCACGACTAATGAGACGAGAAGCACTTACCTTATGGGTCGAACTGAACATATCAACCGAAACAATTTCGGCAATTGTGTACCGTGCAGGATTCATTGCGTTAAGCTCTGCCGTGCATCGCTTCACTTTTGCTCGTCTTCATGCTTTTAACTCCATATGCATGAAACGAAAGTCGCATGTTTTGCTTCCACTAACTGTATTGGCGTAAATGCCAGATACTTTGAAGATAATGAGTGGCGACTCTGGCCTAGTCGTGACATTATTGGATCGACTGACCGCTAGAGTATGAGTATTTGATACGTTTTAAATGAATAGTAAAGTGCTAATATTTATCTCTTATAGCTTCCTCATAGAACCGGGTCTTCTTTACACGAATTTAGTCGTGAAGAAGTAGTCATTCTGACCCGTGCTACACTAGTTAGCATAAGTGCCTCCTGCATTGGCATAGTTATTAATACACTCGTACAAGTTCTTGAGGATCTGAGCAAAAATTATCACAAAATTCAGTCGCATCCAATTCATGTCGTCCACTCTGAACTCTATGTATTGGAGCTTCTAGCAGAATGCTGTACGATGCATTGGGCAAGTATGAACCCGCCAGATTCATGCGATAGTGGATCCAAAGAAATAGAGACTCTCGAATCTAAGGCTAGCTCTAAGCTCCCAGCAGCATCTCTCCAGAACATTAGAAAAAAAGCATATCGGGTGACACCAACTTCAAAACGACACCCGCCTTGTTCTCTAGGAGATGATCTTGTACGGAGACTACTCAATATTGTAAAAATATTTACCAGATCAAATCCCGATGGGCTAACTTTACCTGCTGAAAATATACTTGACGAAAACCTGCATGTTCATGTAGATATGTACGGAACAGAATGCAAAATATCCAGTTACGATAATCTAAACGATATGGATGTTACCAAGCTTTTACAGGAAAGTGAAAGTGCAGTGCAAGCATATATGCGAGATATATTAGAATATGCATCTTTTTTCAATTGGCCCTGTGCTCTAGAATACTTCAAGAATGCGTTGCAACAAGCCGCTTACCACGCTTCTAGCGGCATTCTTCCTGCTGGCTCAGCAGCCGAAGAAGAAAAAAATATTATAGATTCGATGCGCCTAGCTTCCTCTTATTGGGTTGACAGTCGGAAACTGAGCATAATGATCCAAGAGACTTGTGGAATTTTTTTACATCTACCAAAATCTTTTCAGATATCATTGGCTATTATGCTACCTCTCTTGATTTCCCGATGGCTTGAAAATAACCCAGAAGAGTTCGTTGATCTTCACGAAAGACATCAGAGACTCGATGGAGGTGCAGAAACTCTATTCGATATGACCAATACAACGTTTGACGGCAACCGCCGGAAAATTTATTTGCATCCTTTCCAAACATCTTTAATATTCCTTCTTCCAGAGGTCTTTGAGGTTGCAAGTAACATGCGAGAACTGAAAAGTGGTAGCATTTCAAAGAAAGTCTCCTTTCTCGAAACTCTTAGGAAATCCTTGAGAAACAAAAATGAAAATGCTATATACTGCCTTACCTGTATATTAAGGGTTGCCCGTCATTTTCCTGTTAACAGTGATGCCGCACTCCTTAGTTTTGCGTTGGACGTGCAAGAAGAGGTCCGGGAGGCCGTATTTAAGCGATACATCAATATTGATAATACATTAATGACCGCAACATTCATTACCCTGGCACATCTTAATTTTGAGGACTGTCTTGAGAATCTTGTTCCTCTCTGCTTAGTTGTAAATGCGCCTCCAGAATTCAAGGTCGTCGTTCTCTCAGCTTGCTGGCATTTTTCAAAACTATTAAACGCCGAGGATTATCAGCCCCTATTTATCAAAGCATCTGGGTTCATTAGGACACAATTAAAGGTATAGGAATCTCTGCCCGAATGTCGAGAGAAGTCTAAATGCTAAGAACAAAAGTATTTTGTCACGAGGAAAGCAGATGTGAGTCACGAAGAGCAAACTAAAGCAGGGAAATCAACAGATGGCAACGTCTCAATGGATATTGTATATAATATCATGAGGTTTTTGAATACTTCCCCGCTCACTCTATTTATCGATTCCCCGCCGATGGGTCCTGAATGGAGATCACATTTCGAAGAAATCTTCAACCTTTTCACTCCTTTTCTTGTATCAGAAGATGAGCGTATTCGAAACTTTGCTCATGCGATTTCTCTAAAGTTAATGGGCGATGGGACTCGATCGATTTGGAAGAGAAGTAAGGGTTTTGGAACTGAGATGTTGCGATGTAATTTCTGGAAATCTTCGTAAGTAAACATTTTAATCATGAGAGAAATTTTTGTAGGATTGACTAGAATTCAAATCTGTCGTCGTCCTTGTAGCTTACTCCGTAGACATGTTAAAACGAAGGCGAAAAAGACTAACATATTTGGCACAAGGTCTCTTGTTCTTATCACAGAGTCTGAACAGCTCGAGAGTCGATGCGACAAAAAGGCTGGCTTAGCATTTATACATGGATATCTAGAGATAAGACTAGCTTTATTAAAATCAGTAAAGGTAAATTCTCTATTCGATAAAATTATTTTCTGCTTTTATTGAAATAGCTAGGAATTATTACAAATCACCGAAGATGTTCCTGAGCGTGTGGCCGCAACAACAAAACTTGAGACCGTACTACTTGTATGTCTTTGCTCTCCCGATATTTCGGTATGTCAGCTAGGGACAAAGTGTTTATCCCTCTTCTGTGAGGAGACTCGTCTTGTAGATGAAGCTGCCTGGCAGTCAAAGCGCTTGCTGCCCAAACTTAACAACATAGATATCTTCACGGAGATTTCTACCAGGGATTTCCGCTTCACGGGACTTGTGGCTTTCCAAAAACGGGTTCGTGGGCTCTTACGTCAAATACAGCAACCAACATCAGGAATTCTGAGAGCTTGGGAAATAGCTTTTGACTCCTGGCTAAAAATTTCCAAACAAATTTTCTCCGAAATCCCAGAAAATATGGAAGAAAATATACTGGTGGAATGGCGCAATTATTCCGGTTTCCTTGCTTCACTCGGCGGTGCATGCATTTCTGATTTGGCTTCCACATCTGATGATGTTAACTTAGCTGGTCTCAACTGGATCGACAAGCCTTTACGAGATACAAATAACGCCGCTCTTTTGACGAGATACATGGAACAAAGCGTTCGCTTACTATCGAGCAATAACGTTAGAATTCGAGAAACAACTAGGGAATCTTTGTCGACTGAACTAGCTTCATCATTATATCTTCCACTTTTTCATACTCTAGAATCTGAACTTTGCGTTCTATTTGATAACTCTCGTGCGAACCAAATTTTAACTGCCGAGTCTCGTGTTATCTTCGCAGAGCAAGCTGCCGCAACTTTGAAAAGCATCGTAGATCGCATGGGTGTTCCTTCTGAAAATAATGGAGCGTTATCCATAGACGTTGGTGTTCTAACCTTAAATTTTGCAAAATTTTTGGATGACCTATCACACGGAGCGGGTGTATCTCGAGTAAAGATCAAAATATGCCAATTATGTGAAACTATCACCCAGAAAGAAGAGCTTCTAAATCTTCGACATGACGTTCGAATTCGAAACCAGTTGCTGGAAGTTATCTTCAATTGGATTACACGCCCTAGCTCACCAAAAGAGCCATCAATGGGCGGCAGCATACGAGCCGATGATGCTCTTAGACTTCAGAGGGATCTAAACAAGGCTTCTTTAAAAGCTCTTGCAGATCTGACCTATCGCTTACCTTTGCAGCCAGCTGATGGTCAAACTGACGCCGATATAAGTGACTTAAAGTCCCAAATGTTTCACACGTACTTCAATAGATTCCTTTCTTTACTAAGCTATGACTTTACTGAAAAAGGAAAAAATGACTTGAGGCTAGCTACTGTAATTAGTGGAGACTCAACCGCAATCCCAGAGCTCATCATAAGTGCTCTATCAAACCTTCTGAGCGCTAACATCGATATCGGATTGAAGTATTCTCTTGGAATAGGATATCATGAAAACCTTGGGATTCGAACAGCTTTTGTTAAGGTTCTATGCAATCTTCTGATTCAAGGTACTGAATTCAATAATCTTTCTGACGCGTCCATGAATGAGAAATATGACGAATTACTCAAGGTGCTCACTTTGTCCTACAAATTGGTAGATCGTGTATTGATTTTCGGTTTAGTTATTACTTGGCGATGTAGCCTCAACTATAGCACTTTGCGATGCATGTCCAAGTACTGAAGTTGACGAGATGACAATCTCGATTCTAAATATATTTGACTCAAGGGGTCTAGGGTTTGATCTTCTAGAAGCACTTATCGAGCATGAAGTTGATGAGACAGGTTCAAATTTGACCCTACAAAAATTTGTACTTTAAACTAATATCGTTCAGAAAATGAGGCGGAACTTCTAAGGCGGAACTGTGTCACCACGAAGATGCTTTCAATCTATTCAAGGTGGAAGGGAGCCACTTATCTAAAAGTAACCTTGCAGAAAGTTTTGAAGCGATTAGTCTTAACATCACAGGACCTTGATTTTGAACTGGATCCAGCTCGAACAACATCTGTTGAAGAACTACAGAAGAATGCATTGCAGCTTCGTATCGTCGCAAAAGTTTTCATTGATAATATCTGTAATTCAACGCCTCACATTCCTGGTTCTTTTAGGAGGATTTGCAGCATAGTAAGTAATTATTTCTGTAATGCCTGTAACCATCAATAACTGAAACAATCTTCAGATATCATCTGCAGTAATGAAACGATTTCCAGAAGCAAAGTTTACAGCTGTTGGTGCATTTATATTTCTCCGATTCTTTTGTCCAGCTATAGTTGCCCCAGACTCCGAGGGTCTCATTGATTCTCCCCCTTCGAAAGAAATGCGACGTGGACTCCTTCTCATTGCAAAGGTGATTCAAAATCTAGCGAATAACGTACTTTTTGGTGCCAAGGAATCATATATGTACCCTCTCAACGACTTTCTTACCCAGAACATATACAGGGTTACTACATTTCTTCGTGAAATTTCAGTTTGTGAGCCTAACCTTGAAATCAAACCAATTCTGACTATTTCAAGGTTCCGTCGAATGTCAAAGAGATATCACTCGATTCTGAGCCCTTTGACTTCGGCGCATGTGTCGCATTGCATAGGTTTCTTTACGAAAACTGGGACCATGTCCGTCAGAAGATAGTACTTCAGGAGAGAAAACGTACAACCTGCTCACCAGCTGAAATAAATAAAGAAAAAGTACCCATTTTGCAAATACTTCGCAAACTTATCGCTAATCTTGGGCCTCCGCCAATGGATGTTTCTTGGAACCGTCCTGGAATTTCATTAAATACACCACCTTCATATTCACGCTTTCAACACTTCATGCTTCAGAATGCAGGTAGGAATACTGAATTTATCGAGACAAATCGTGCCATATACGATGGGGGTGAGAGCAAAGATGGGCTTCCAATAATTTGCATCATTCTTCGTAACATCGACGCAGAGAATATTGATTACGATCTCTTACTGTTCGGGTACCTCAAAATAGCTAGTAGGATGTGGCATCGTAATTTCGGGATTCTAGTCGACGCAACTTGCTACAATGGTCAAAATGAGCCTCAAGATAAATTGTTCCAAAAATTAAACCTTCTAACACCATCTGAGTTACTAAAACAACTTTCCAGAATGTATGTATACAACATGAATAGTGTATTCCGAAAATGCTTTAGACGCATCCTACGACTCTCCGCCAAAACCGAAAACTGCGCTTTTCACCCTAAAAATATAAAATACCACTTGATTAGCAACCTTCAAGATCTTCAGGTTTACTTCCATCTAAGTCAACTTCACTTGCCTAAAGAGACAATTAGTGTTGTTACTGACACGAGATACGTATTTCAGCCCATTACAAGACTTTCGAGAACCAGGGGAAAAATTGAGGTCGTTATAAAAGTAGGCAGTCAGTTTGTACAGGTAACTACTATCAATAAACAAGATATTGTTCCCGGGTTGCGCTTACAGGCCAATCTCAACGATATTTTTCCTCTGTCAGAGATTGACGAAGCATCAACTTCAATACAAACTGACGACGATTCGGCATTCGGACTACGCACAGAGAATGGTAAAATAGCGATGTACTTTGTTAGTCCCAGGAAACATGAAGTTCTACAGGCTATTAAGGGAACAAAAGGAAAACAGGGGAAAGAACTGAGAAGATCGAAGTCATTCGAACGTCTTTTAAGGCCGCAAGATGTACCCGGAACCCTCCTTAATATTGCCTTAATGAATATGTCAAGCACCGATGAAGTACTACGACTTGCTTCTTACAATCTCCTCGGTGCACTATGTCGGGCTTTTAAGTTTTCTCCAAGTTCAAACTTTGTAAGCGCAAAGGGTAAGTTTATCGTTTGCAACTGAGTAGTAAATTTTTAATTTTTTATCTCACAGATCTTTGTGTACCCATAAATCCCTCTCACTTTATCGTTAGCATTAGTCAGCGACTAGCTCAGTCAGAACCTCAACTCACGGCTGATTTTCTCACTGAGTTTTTTGTCGGTTGGGGAAGTTTTCCAAACTCGCAAAGGCCTTTAAGCCTTGCTTACATGGCACCATGGCTTCATGGATTACGAAGTAGCCTAATTCCCTGTGACTCTGATGGTGACAAGACCAGAGACAAAGTCGCATCAATATTTCGTAAGCTTATCGATATTGCAATGTCAGACCTAACATTGAGCACTACTTTGGAACAATGTGTGTGGCCAGCCCTGAGTCAAGATGAAACCTATGTCGATATCTTTTTAGATGAGATCGCAAAGATAGCTTTAGGCTTCGGCTCTGAAGATGGACGCACAGAGATCCTTGCATCAATTATAAGCTCTTTTGATACTATCACAGTACGTGGTAAACTACTTTCACGACTTCGAAAAGCTCTAGGTCGTTCCTCTTTAAGACCAACCAGGAACCTACCGGATAATTCTGTTTGGCCGGAAATATGTGTTCTTCTTCGTTTCTGTCTTTCAACTTCATTTGATAGCGGCGTTCAGTCCCAGCTTTACTTACCGGAACTATTTCACATAATTACAATGCTTGCAAACACCGGGTCTGCAGACTTCAGGTCCACAGTGCACCGTTTATTAATCAACACAATACATGCTATGTGTAGTGCATTTGAATTGGAAGAGAGTAAGCTCGTGCGTCTTCGCGCTTTGCTTCTTTCACTGTCTGAGCCACAAAGCAGTTCTCTTTTTAATATATCGCCCCGAGATAGTGTCTCTGTCGCAGCTAGCCAGGAATTTGGGATTTCAACCCTGCTTGCCACTGAGTCCCTGGCAGTATTGCTAGCAGAAGTTAGCACTATCGCTGCGCCTTCCATTGACATGTCTAATGCATGGCGATCAAGATGGATGAGCTTAGTTGCAAGTACAGCCTTTCAAAATAATCCATCTATTCAGCCTCGCGCATTTACTGTCATTGGCTGCCTTGCTCGGGAAAATGTGGACGATGATTTCCTTTACCAAGTCTTGGTCGCTCTGAGGAGCAGTATTTTTCGATTTGTGGAAGACAATGAATGCGAAATGCTCATTGCAATTGTTACTGCCCTAACCAAAATGATTGATAAGCTTCCTTCCGGTTCCAGATACGGCCTACAATTTTTCTGGCTTGCCCTTTCCCTAGTTAGGCTTGTTCCACTTGCGTTGTTTAACTACATTGCTCCGTTTTTAGACGCGGCACTGAATAATATCTCTTCAACAGGTAAGCTTAAAGGAGGTCGTATGGTAACTACTTTGTTACAAGGAAGAATGCTTCTTGGAGATACTGCGCTCCAACTTGATAATTTGTACGGAATCCATTTTAACCTGGAAAACTTCCACTTTGCCGTGTGCGCGTCTCTAGTCAAAGGTCTGTCTGACTCAGTAACAAGAGCAGCAGCTATACGTGTTCTGCAGACTTTCTTGGAGGTTACTACCTCAAGTATGGTAGATGAGACGAAGGCATTGAAAGACCAAGCCTGTATGCCTTATCTAGGGCTGCTGATATCCCGCGCTATGACATCAGACGAGATGAAAGAGAGTTTATGGCTTGCTGGCTTTTCCATGCCTGGAGAAGATTATAATCAGGTTGAAATAACTGATTTTATAGATTTTGATGCCATGAAAGATAAAGAACTTCTACTTAACGCATCTATCGGCATAGTAGACTTCAACTACCTGGAAAACGTTGTCCGTAATCGCTGTCTAATTTGGCTGAAGAAGATTGCGATGAAGAGACCAGCGGTGATCCTCTATTTGTAATAAATATACGTTTGTGTAAAATTTTTGACTGACTTTTTTCAGATGTGGTCGTGTCACAAGAATCCTCGATGATATATTAATTTCATGTCAAAATGCAGCAACCCTCGAATCAGCTCACCAGCTACTACGATGTCTTACATCAAATGCCAAGTTCAATAGCGTCGACACTACTGAAATGCTGCAAGAAGTACTTGATGGAATCGGATTCGGCGGATTATGGCGGTCATCCACCTTCCACATAGCAAACGAGAATGGGCGGCAGTGCACAGCATTGACGGATAGGCTCATAGAGGTATGTCTACAGACTATGCACTTCTCTCCGATTATTGAAATGTACTGATCTGAAATTTTTCAGCTGATTATTGCATGAATTTTTCCTATTATCTTTGATTTTCCAAATGAAAAATATAAAACCGGGTCAGGGTGTGGTATGGTGTGCTACGCGCAGAGTGGGTACTGAATATAGGAGATAAAATTAATTATTTCTTGTACTAGTAGCTTTTTATATGCTAGCATGCTTGGAGAGTTCAATTCTATCTAAGGCTATTGATTTCAAGTATTTCCTAAACAATTATTAAGCAATTTGTACGGTGAAAAAACTAGCACTGGAGGTAATCCTAAGTAGGGCAAAGAGGAGCGGTGGAAATACTGTACGCACAGATCTACTATTTTTGTAGAGCTGGATTCGCCTATACAAGCTTAGATTTTATAGAGCATTCGAAGCCTGTTGTGTGGGGCTGATTTTATGAACACGATTATTAACAAGGCACTAGGAAGCCGTTTCATGTAACAACCTCAAGCTACTTCATTGGAATCTGTCACCATTTCTACGGTCGTAAGGGGTTTTTTCTTCAGTAAAGCAAGCTGTGACTGTAGGCGTATACCGCTAGCATTTAGCCGCCGAATTTCGTCTCCGACTTGGCTTGAACGAGCCCGTTTGCCTAATCTTGATGCAAGACTTTGCCGTGCCATGATTCCCGTCTCAAGAGCTTCTTTGAGAGACGGCGTCGCGTATGCACGGTGGGATATGATAAGCCTACGTAATAAGTTTTCCAGAAGGAGGGAAACCTTTGTATTCTCAATAGGTGACGATGTAACAGCAGTGAACGGCAAGTAACAAGTCTCGAGAGTTTGTTGAGATATGATGTCAGAAGCATTGGGACCAGGGCGGAGAGTTGATCGAGGAAGTAAACGGCAAAGTAATGCCTGGCAAAGACTGAGCTGGATAGATTCCGTGAGGAATGAAGCAGTACAGGAGCCTATGAAAGTGGTGAACTGCGGTAAGGGAGTTGGCTGTATAGCGTCGCAAAGTAGATTTATGAGTTCGGGCGGGGTAGTAAGGTGAGTAGGTAGAAAATTTGCGACGCTAACGAGCTATGGAAGAAGAAGTTGTCAATATAGATACAAGCAAGTAGCGTAGATGAGAACGAGCGGAATATATGCCCTGGCACGTAACTTACAAGCGTGAAAAGACGTTGACGCAGAGTCATGATCTCGTTTCCTTCAATAGATGATTCTGTAACGGTAACACCATCCTCAGTATCATCTATTTTCTCACAAGACAATGCCAATTCTTCACCTTCCGGCTCATATAGTTCTTCCTCAATGTCCCGACTCGAAGAGATAGCGTCAGATTTCATCAGCTTCGCATGAGTATGGAACTTGAGCTCTTTGGTTTCATTAGGAAAGACCGGGGGGAAGTCTCGTAGGCTACTGCTGCTTCCATCTGTGAAGAGGGATTGAACAATACGGCGGATAGCGGTTGCACGAGAAACACGGGCACCGGGGAGATACGATACGATCAATGACTGTTGTAGCAAGGTTTGGTTCCTCTCATTGATTTCAACTTCACACAAGTTCGACGATTCCAGTTCAAGCCGTTGCCGTTCCTTCCAATCAGCTACCAAGACATCCACCATGTACTCTAGCCACACCTTCAGGTACCTCCATCTAAAAGGGTACTTGGCTGAGCAGTTGCCTGACCAGCCGACCATGTGCCAGAAATCTCTGGCGCACAGACGAATTCGGCCTTTATTGCCAATATCGCCTCGCACATGGTTTATCGTATCTTCGAAATCTGATCGAGCTGAAGTTTCTCCGGGTCCGGTGGCTACACGGCAAGGGCCGCTAGTAAGTTTATCGCCCGTAGCTATTGGTGCATACGAAAAGGCCTCGGTAAATTTGAAATTAATTGGCCCAAGAATGCCTAGGATGTTACGAAGGAGGAAAATACATTGCGAGGCGAGTTCACCATGTTCATCCGTATCCGCTTGGTTCGTATATCGGGGATGGACAAGAAGTGTACTAACGAGCTCGACATGAAAAGGTATGGGCGCAAATGCTGGCATTTCTTGACTGTGTGGATGAGAGGCCCCAACAATGAGAACATCTGTGAGGAGGCTAAGTGCGTTGGTGTCTGAATCTTGGTCAGAAAAGAACGATCACGATAGATGAGAGCTCTAAGTAAAAATAAGCCAAGCATGCGTACATAGCCCTTCATCAAGAAGTATATGACAATGACGGCGCAAATCATCTGTGATAGGCTTTGCAGGTCGATAACGCGAAAAGTACATGGAGTTTGTAGACATTTAGAAACGACCAATGTTAGTGCTGCTTATTTGTGGGTAGTCAAAGCTGCTTTGATTGCGGGGCCTGTTGTACTTACTCCATAACAGCTCCTGGTACTAGCTCGCAGTCGTGGGTCTTCCTGCAGTGCCTAGTAAGCTAGGCCGGGCGCCCGACGCACAAGATAATTCAAGTTGCTCGCTTGAAGGGATATTTCTTCAGAAATAGTTGCACGAGCGCCATCTTTGACAAAATTTCCCGAACCAGTAAATTGTACAGCTAGCCTGGCGCTTGACAGTCTTAAACACGATACAGAAAGTGGTCCGCGTCCTATCAAGATATAATGCGACCTTTCTGGTTACTGTAGCCGATGGGGCATCGAATCTTCAGATGTAAGTCCTACAGCCTAATTTAGAGCAGTTCTTTAAACTAATTTGCGTAAAATACGAGTTGGAATACAGGGTGTCAGTCTGCATGCCTGGCCCCATTTTTCTATAGGTTTTCATATCATAGGCCTTTTTTAGATCGAGAACTATTGAAATACAAGGGCTAGGGGTAGGAAAGAGTAATGGTTGGGTAGATAATTACAATACACCTGGACATACTGATCAATCCTGATTTTCCAGAAATATTGGTGCTGTAGCAGCAAGTCACTTTCCTAGAAGTTCGGCGAGAATTAAATAAATTAGTGTATCGATTCAAATAAAGAATCAGAACTCTGGATGGGGAAGAGCGTGAACTCTTAATATCTAAAATTTTGAGATTAGATTGATACAATCAAATATATTTCTAGAGTAAAGAAGGTGACTATGGTACGTTTCAAATATCGCACTAATGCGTGCTACGGGGTGAGTGAGATGACGAATAGCTACATTTTCAGTTTCAAAGTCAAGATTTACTTGTAGATTTGTTGGCTCTGCCTGGTTATGTAACTAGATCGAATATTTGATATGAAATATCTGAAACTAAGCAACAGACAATTGCCTCAAACTTATCAGCGTTCCTGTCAGGCTTCATGCAAGAATCCCCACGGCCATTCAGCTCAAATGGTTAACCATGAGCAATGTTTACATCGGATTATGAGAGCCCTAGGTTTGAACATGGGTTTGTCACGTAAAAGTTTACTAGAGCCGGATGAACCTTGAAATCAAGTGTCGGTCGTTAATGCAGGAAGAAGAGGTCGTCAAAATTCTTGGTCATGAAGCTTTTCGAGTATGTAGGTCCAGGGTGTGCGAAAGCTGTCGGCAGTTTTATCTTTTGTCCAACCGCATCAACTCATCAGTTTCGGCGTTTGCACTCCATGTTTTAGGCTGCCAGCCTTCGTTTAGCCCAGCATGAGCCGGTTTCCGTGGGTATTCTTGGCGCGTTTTCTTGATCACGTCCGAGCTTTGGCTTTTGGGAGTTGACATTCCTTGGTCCGTGTGGTCCTTGATCAACTCCGAAGACTTCTGGATTTCAGAGACTGTATGGCCGTTAGGTCCGTCACTAAGGCCCGGGAGAGTAGCCCGAGATTCTGCCGAGGACGGTCCCTGTAACTTTGCAAGACCGGCCCATTTCGCATCGACTGCAGCTGCCAGTACTTTCATTTGCTCCTGCCGCTGTATATCCTGTGATTGCTCAGCTAGAGACGGCGGGTCAACACGTGTGTGGCGAAGCCATTGATGCCACGGTGGCGAGATCTGGACTTCGCTGTAGTGGGTTGCGCGGGAGAAGTTGACGATGCGGCGTAGGCGGTCCTGGTCCGCGAATAGGGTATTACGAAACTCCCAGAACGTATTTCCGTGGAGGTCAAGACCTGAAACGAGGATAACAAGTTAGAGCCAAAAAGACGGTACGAGGTAAGCGTGGTCCGTTAAACTCACCAACCAAAAATCTTTTTCGCCATGGGAGCCTCAAGGACTTCCAACGGTACCAAAGTTTCCGCCACGGGCCACCGATAGTTGGTGACATGGCACTGCTTGCCGATACAACGACCAATCTAGGATTGTATGGGTTATGAGAGTAATGAGGCAAGGGGTGTGAGAACAACGCAACAGCGTTGAACTAGATAGGCGATGATTCAGGAACATTGACGCCTCAAGATTCAATCACGCTAAGCTAGCATGGGCAAGGTTGTTTACCTAATCTGGTCTATGAGCCATTAGCAACAAGCGAAATTCACACTACAATATTGGACGACACAACCCGATAGGCGCATTTTCCATAAGTGAGCATAGAGCGCGAAGAATGAGTCAATTCAATTAGGTATTCCTCCCTAAATTCTGTATCTGAAATACCAATCGCAGATAATTCAGATATTGACAAAAGTAGAAAATAATTTGTTTCGATCCAATCGGCACAACCGCAGAACGAACTCAGCCACAAGGGGCCTCACGTCAGAGTACAGCGTGCAACCTATGTATATCTTTGAGGACAGGGTAATTAGACTGCAATGCTGCGTCAAGCCACTCCGTTACTTGTGCCCGGAATGCATTGTGGCGGCAGCTGCGGCTCGTCTTCTTCTAATTCTTCTCTTGCATATTCGGCGTGGCCGACTGCCATACCCTGTAACGTCTGCATCCTGCCGTCCCCATACACACAGCCGGTGCACGGACCAAAAATCAGGGTCTCGTTCAGGGAGAGGAGCATGCAACAATCTCACCAGCTCCATAATTCTTCGCTCGTATTAGCGGCATGGCTGGCCCGAGCCAGGCAGCGACGAGAAAAATTTCATCGCTTCCATTGCATCCAGTCTGTGTGTGCCCCACCAGCGCAGTCCCACATTGTTCTTGACGCATTCGCCGATCTATGCGTGTAATGACGTTTGTGCGGAGTGTTTACGGAGAAAATGGCTCCATCGAGGGACCAGGAACCATTGACATACCACAAGGATAGAGTCCAAGGCCATCCAGAACCACTGGCCTATTCTCAACTGAACCCTGGCCCCTCGCTAATCGCGAGCTATCATCCCTAACTTCCGTATACCTCCTCCCCCCTGCAATAGCTATGATGGGAAGTTCATCTAGGTATTTATATACGATGCCCTGTCGCCACATGTTCACCATTATTTCGACGATCATCTAGGATTCATGAGCATTAAGTCGTTTTCTATCGTCTCTCTACGAATCTTACGGCTCAGACGATTAATATGTTAGCCCTACCAACTCGTTGCGATCAGCTTCGTGAATTGAGCCCGCTTAATACGGACAGCCCACACTCTACAAATTCTAAAATATATTCGAATATATCTCAGCCGTTGCCTGAAACTAACCGCTGGTCAAGTCTTTCTCCATCCATCGGCCCAGAATCCGAAGAGGGCGCCAACATCTGCACATTTTCAAGCGACGAGCCGGACTTCTCGTACTATTCATCTCCACTAAGTAATCAGCCGTATATGAACTCGCCCATGCACTCTACGCCTAATTATCACCCTGATAAAATGGACAACAATCAAGATTCCCCAAGGACAGAAGGAAAGGCACATCATAGGGAATCATCTCTATCATCTTTATGCTCGGCCGGCCCAGCATCTCCATACACTACTAATATCTCTAATCCGCAGATTGTTGGCGAAGTTTATGACTATTCAGACCCATCTTTCTTTCCTGGTATAAAACCAATGACTCCAGCTCAAACGCCCTCTCAAGAACCTTTTCTCGTGCCACACTTTTCATCTGGATTTCCTAAAAGTTCAGCCATATGTCATGAAGCTGTACCCTTACCGGAAATAGTTTATACTGGGAGATCATCTATGGCTCCTATTCTTGATAACGACACGCAAGTCTCTATATCAGCACTAGATATAGAGAGACAGCGACAGACTGGAGAAACTCCGAGCGATAGCCTCTGGCTTCCTGACGGTATACTTTGTGATCAGTCATATAGAAATATGGTCAGATTTAATCAAAATATGTCGAGCATCTATGAAGACAGTCTTTACGATCCAAATAATTTGACAAATGCCCAATCTCCCATGACTCCCTCTTCGTCAGTAACTCGCTCATCAACTGAAAGGTTGTTCGAGCAGAGACTACAGGCAGCAAAAAATCAGCATTTACATGCAAACTCAAATTCATCGATACTTTTTCAGCCTCAAGATTGTGTATCATTTCAGCATGGGTTGAACCTAGCTCCAGTAAATAGCTTTGAGATTGATTCACCAAGTCTGCGTGTAAATACGATGACACCATTACAAGGGCAGCAGAAAAATGAGAACGATGTGCGGGTCTTTCAGGAGCAAATTTGTAGAAGTTCTTCGATACAGCCGGGCTCTGCAATCTCGCCCAGAGATGTCGGTGTAAGCTATCATGAGAACAAAAATAGGCTTGCACCAGCTTTCCCTTCTCAACAGGCTCCACCGCATATGTTTCCTTCGTACTATCCAAGTCATCAGCTAGATCTTCAGGATTCAGATCAAAGCGTATCTCCACGAGGCCTTAGTAGTATAGCCGCAAGTCGACGTCAAAGCTCATCAACATATTCATCAGTACAGTCAAACTTACAGCAAAATGAATTTAATTTTAACGTGCCAGGAATTAATGATAATTTACAACATGTGCCACGGCAAAGTTCTTTTTTCCCCTCACCTCAAAGGCTAGGTAATAGTGCAGCGGCATTTACAAATCGCATTCCATTGAAAAAAAGAAAGGGAAATCAAGAGTCAAATTTACATTGTTCTGGCACTAAAAAACCCTTGATGACCACCGCCGACACAGGAACCTATACCTGCACGTACCATGGCTGTACGCTTCGATTCGAAACGCCTGCAAGGCTGCAGCGCCACAAACGTGAGGGCCATCGAAATTCTGCAGCCGCAGCCGCAGCTGCAGCTCTTCATGGGGGAGGTGGCATGACATCAGCGGCAGTGCAGAGAAATTCCCAGGCCGGTCCCCACAAGGTTTGTTGAACCCTACTCTTTCTTATCTCCCCATCCACTAATAATCTCGAATTTATACTGATTGTTACTATGTAGTGTGATAGAATAAACCCATCGACTGGAAAACCATGTAACACCATTTTCTCTCGACCTTATGATCTTACTCGTCATGAAGATACTATACATAATACCCACAAACAAAAAGTTTACTGTCCTTTATGCGAAGACGAGAAATCATTTAGTCGGAATGACGCACTTACACGTCACTTACGGGTTGTACATCCAGACTATGTAGACCCATCGACTCGAAAACGACGCGCTACTGGAGAGTGACGTATTGATTGTAATCATTAAAGTGATATGGGTTGAAGTGGTAAAGACAAACGGGGTAAACAAGGAAGTCGTATTTTTTTGCCAAGCCTTAATGCACTGACCACTTTTTATATATTGGCGTGCTGGGCAATTAACACCCCCAGGAGTCCTATGGGAGCTTGAGCACGAGTGGGGCCGGGCTGGAGCGGGTTAAATACGATTTAAGTAAAATGAATCTCGTCCCACGTTAGACTTTACCCATATGTTGAACATATCAAGTACAACCGTCCAGAGAACCCGAATTTGAGGCTCCGAAGCGCGGTATTCACCTTAGACCCGGCCACAACGTGCCCGAGCCTTGAAGATACTAAAATCTAATTTATCCTTTATTTACGGTCCCAGTCATACCTCATCCCAGAATCTTTTCCTCTCATCCAGGAGTCGGTTTATTCATTGGATGCCTCATCTAGTCGCCCACCGAGGTCTCATCAGTCTTTCTTCCCTATTTTTCTCCGTTATAGCTTTTCCTCAATCTTTCAGTTGATATCGTAATCTCAGAAAATTTGTAGAATTTCCACTCCTCCGGCCATATCACATCGCTACCATACAACAAACTGAGAAGGCCGAAAATGTGTCGAAGAGCTCATGATTGAAGCGCCCATATCTCAGCCTTTTTCGAACGCTATAAATGATATATTGACGAAACGTCGTACGTATCTCGTCGGTGGTGAATTAATCGCGGGTCGAGTTGTTTGTGCCCTTGGCCGAGATTAGATGAATATAAGGCCAGTACTTTGACCGTACCTTCATAGGGTGCAACAATTGCGGTAGGATAGACGTCTCTACCTATCTTAAATTGCTAGGACGACTTTTCGGTCTAGTAGTGCTTCGGTAAGTGGTGAGATGATTTTAGTAAAGATCTTCCAGAAAAACTTGAGAAAGTGAAGATTTTCAGTCGTTTTAATACGAACACTAAATAGGTTTGATCCTATCTGCGTTTCATATGTTGGGTGTAAATAATTGAATATGTTGGGTGGTGCAGTCGTGGAATCCCTGCAGGCCGGAGTTCCAATCAAAAACTTGCCGATACAACTCCTCCCGATCGCCACCTCGGCGGCAACTCGCAAATTATATCATCTACAATGACAGAGTGTGTGTGTGTGTGTTTTATTGTACTACTTGAGTCTATGACTATCTAGCACATTGGGCTCCTCTCTGACCCAGGCCACACCTTGTACAGTGCTCCTATCCTCTTTTGTTACTTGAAAGATCATTGATATATTCCCCTTGATGAACAGCCATTCAGCTCAGTGTTTACCCGTGGAATTCAGCCACCTTTTCCACGGAACCTTCTACCCAAAAAAAATAAAAATGGTAGCAATGGAAACTGCGTGCGCGGGAAAAAGTCTCAAAAAACCTGCAGCCCCAGCCAGGCGAGGCCTAGACACCGGGACCACATGAGGTGCGCATATTCATCTATATCTCCCTTCTTTGTAACAGTCGAGGTCGACTTGATCCAATCCACCATCTCCGTATCGGGTGCTGGGTACGCTCCGGAAACTCATCGGATGGCTTTTCCTCCATGATCAAGGGTGGGTGACGAGTAGGGCTCCGACCCTACCATCTGATCTGATCGTGGTTAGCTTCATGATAATGGTGATAGGGGAATGTGTTGAGATATGAAGACGATACAGACGGCGAAAGCGATTGGGAATCCTCTTCGAAGTGAGGACTTTGTTACTCAATCTCGGCTCTGCAGACTCTACAGTGAGAGCTGGAGGTTCGTAGGGGACACCACTGACAGGTGTTGAGAATAGTCCCCCTACAATGACAGAGTCTAGACACTGAAAGAAAATGTTACTATTAGGCTCGTGGAGAACACCATCAGACCACTAAATATAGTTTCCGCTATTGATATTCTCCCTATTTGATACAACATCAACATTTCACATCTTGCTCCCTATCAACCTTCATTCCTCATATCCTTCCTCACTAACATCATTCCTACCTAGCTTGATCTACACTATTATTCTAAGATGTAATTTATGTAATTCATATACTTTATTCTTGAATTTAATTCACTAAGTTTAATAGGCTATGAACCCAGTGCTCTGACACTGCCAATATTTCATAACCTCTATTGAATAAAGCTTACTTTAGACAATCCAGAAACTGCCATTTTCATCATTTACTTCACCAGATTTCCCTTTCCCAAACTAGCTGGTACCAATAACTATCAGGTATGCTCAATGAAAATGAAGTTTTATCAAATTGCACAGAACCTACGGAGGGTTACTGAATTGTCCTCATCACAGGCCACAGTAGAATAAATAATGTATCAAAACTCTAAATCAATTAATTTTATTATTCTGTCTTTCGAAGATCACATCATCTACTTAATCTAGATGAGCTAGCAGCTACAGCATGGAAATTTTTGGAAAAACAGTATGATAATATTTGATTTGGTCCTCGTAATCGCGCCTTTCAATCTTTTGTATCAAGGCAAATATCATCCAGTGATAGTATTGATCATTTCATAGATCAGATTTGGTCTTAAATACAAATGCTTTCTCAAATGGCAACGTGACTTCCGCAATTGCTTCTCATGTCAATTTTGATTGACAATGTAGGTACCAGTATGAAGCATGGTCACAGTCTATAATGCAATAAGCTCGATATAAATCAGTTAAAATTTAAACTTTATCTTAGACGAAATTAATGCAAGTATGATTGAAGAAGCTAGAAGAATGAGTCAGAATAATAAGATGACAATTACAGCAATGACAGCACCAAAACAATCTAAATCAAAACTAATCTATAAATATCGTGGAAAATTATATAAGTCAGGCAATTATTGGTAGAGCTATCCGAGAAATATTTGATGTTAGATATTATCACACAATACGAAAAATTTAGCAAATAATGACTCTAATCCACTATCTAATGGTATTTTATTCTTATCTCAATAAAATTATAGAAAATAAAATTCTTAGATATTGGATGATGAAGCTACACGACTTATGTGTAATAATGTTAAAACCTTAGTCCTTATATTGTGTAATGATCACTTTAAGGAGTTTTAATGTAAAACATGGAAGGTAGACTTGTCTATGAAATCAACTCGTTGGAGGTCTATGAAACAATTATCCATGCAAACGGATCCAACACTCGAGATTTACATCTTGAGTGCGGGTCCGTGCACGCCAACAAAACAACCCAATAACCACGTGATAAACAAGTTAATTGTACAGGGTATCTTGCTCTCCAGTTCTCCTAACTCGTGGCTAATGATGACAACTCAGACCCATAACAAGGGTCATGAGGATCCTGGAATTGCAATGCATTAGACTTATTTCTCAACAAAAAATAACATAATTTTCAAACCTCAAAAATTATTTCAACCACAATAAAAATTGCCAATGACTTGAAAATGAATGCAGCTGGAAAAAGGGACATCAAGATTCGAACAAAAAATGAAAACAATTTTACCCTCATAAAAATTCTCTATGTCCCTCAACTTGCATCAAGATCTCTCTCAATTTGTGGTGCATCAAAGAATCCAAATTTTCGGTAGAATTTTAGAAATACTCAATTTCATATTATGTATCACAACAGACTACCAGAAACTGCTATATAAAGGGATTATACTCTTGTACTGAAGAAAATACATGCCTCTAGTGGTTCATTGAAATCTGGGAACATGCTATCTTTCATAAGATATTTGGACACTCCAATGAAGAATACTAGGCCATAATAACAACACAAAATGCTACTGGAAGGAGTGAGAGGCTTTCATGCAAAAGTTCTCCAAAGAATAAATTTATTAACCTTTAAACCTATAATAAACAAGTACATTAGCTTGCAGATAATTCTCACAATTCAAAATCTAATAATGGTAGAAATTTTATTAGCAAAAGCCTAGTTCCACCTGATGCCAAAATACGGTTTATTCCAGAAAAATCTGTGCAGGCGGTGACTTTCGAGGAATCATAAAAATGAAAAGAAAGCAAGAAGGATGAAAAAGAACCTGTTGTGAGGAATACAATATGGAAATTTGTCTCAATCACATCAAGTAGATACGAAGTTTTGCAAATAACATAAGTGTATCGAATTAAATTAAACATAGATGGAAATATAACAAAAGATAAATCAAAATTTCTATTTAGAGGAATTTCAAAAAAAAACGAATATATTGTTACAAATGCTTTTGCTCGTGTAGTTAAGCCCATGTAATTCAAAATGCTTTTCAGCATTTCAAACCCTAGGAAAATATCAAATGAATGTCGAGAAAGTTTCGTTGAGCAGCTCTATTCATGAGGAGATATAAATTGAGCAACCACATGGCTTTGAACTACCAACACTTGATGTGGAAAATAAAATTAATACATAACTTAACAAGAATAACCCCTTAAATAAGGCAACTGTATTTCTTGGGAATCAGAGTTCTAATCTCAAGCCAGTATTCAAATTAGACAAATCACTTTATGAATTAATATAAGCACCTCGAGCTTGATATAAAACCTCGTCACCCATTACCAAAATCCTGAAACTCAAAACTCTTAAGAGTGACTACGCACTATTCATCATAAAGAGGACTCTCATGATAGCTATGTATGTGGGTGAAATCACTATTCTTGGAAAAAGTAAGCACAAAGAGTTTCAACTAAAATCAAGACTTAAATAATAATTGGACAAGGCTGACATGCAAGCTGCTTAGACCTTGAAATGCAAATCAGGTAGAACAGAACAGCATTACCAAATTTTTTGACCGTAAGAACTATATACAAGTTATTTTGGACAGAATTAAAATAGCTACCTACGAAGCATCTTCTCATTAAAAAAATTTAATAGCAAACGATTGGATGTTTTGAATATCGAGCATTCGCTATATGAGCAGAGATCTTATTTGCACTTCATATTATATATGAACTTACATCAAATATATATTCAGGTCACTTGAACGTAGCAAAAATAGATTTCAAGACTTATAGGGGCTTTTCATTATTACTTACTTGCCAGAGGATTCTAAACTGGTCTTTTTCAATTTCTTAGACATTCGGATGAATATTGGACAGGCGGTAGTGACAATTCTTAATTTTTACTTGGTCCGCTTACACTACAAACATTATAAGGTTAAGAACGTATCCAACAATTTTATGCGGAGCCTGAGGCATTATTAAATTTATTGTTCGGCGGCACTTATTATGCAATGACGTACAAAGAAAAAGTAATGCGATGATATGTTATTTTTTACAAACATTCGTGCACATTTTGATAAAAAAACGAGCGATAAACTTACAATATAAGCTATTTGGTCGTGTTAAGGAGAAGGGGATTCACATTACCCGTCGGTGTATTATGGCAAGTACCAACAGCTTGTTAATCAATTGTGGATAGCAGGGATATCTGGCCTGGGACCGACGGGATCATCTGCAAGTAGAATCTAAAATTTCACTCAGAAACTTGAAGCTGTATAAGTGAGAGGTTTGAAGTCTCAGTGATATGACGAGTTTTACTATCTTACTATTTTACTAATCCCTCGCCATAACAGCTTTTCGAACGTCACTGTATAGTGGTTCTATACCAGTCCATTTCTGAAACTAATTTTCTGTTAGATACTAATCTATTATAAGAGAGTCTCGAGTGTGGGGGCTTACCTGATAAAGACCCTGACCGCAGAGAATCTCAAGACCTGGGATTGTGACCCATCCTGCTTCCTGAGCTAGCAGCATTAAAGCCGTTACACTAGGTTTGTAGGCCATTTCAATCATGGTGCGCTGGTGGCTAGGATCGGCAGGTGGATTTTGGAATAGTTTCGCGATAATCTCATACATTTTCGGCTCGATGGGCTGATCTGCGGGGATAGTAGCAATGGCAACTCGGGGTGTATCACTCAGCTGCTCTATAGCGCTAACAGAACTTAAATCCTTGACGTTAAACTCAATGGGGAGCGAAGAGATCATGGCTGTAAGTTTCGAAGGCGTGCGAGAAACAACAAAAATGGGTGAATGGCCAAGGGAGTGCAGGGCGTAAATTGCGGCACGTGCAGTCCCACCAGCGCCAATGACTACTGCACTTCCGAGAGAATGAGAAAACGAAGCCGCATAGGAGACTGAGATTAGAGCGTGCTTCATTCCAAGCCAATCAGTATTATCTCCGATCAAGCGAGGCTTCTGACAATTTTCAAGCGGGGTGGGTATGATTGTGTTGACTGCACCAAGAACTCGGGCGGCGTCGGTGATATCGTCTAGTAATGAAATAATGTCGATCTTGAGAGGGATTGTGACTGACGCACCCCCAAAATCGCTACGGTGAATAATTGTCTTAACCTCGTCTACGTTGTCTGTTTCTAGTATCGAGTATTTGTGAGGGAGGCCTACTTCGCGAAACATGGTGTTGTGTAAAGCAGGAGATCTAGATGCTGATATCGGCTTTCCGAATAAATAAAATTTCTTACTCTCAATCTCGGCAAGCAGCGACAACCCCTGTCGGATCTCTGCGGCCGCTAACTGACCAGGGGCAGCTTTGAAAGGCAGTGCTGGATGTGTGACAGGGGTCATAAATCTATTCAAGATCCGACTCAGTTGACCACGGTTACCCATGTTAATACATATGAATGGGACAGGGTGTGCTAGGGCCATGTTGATCTTGAATCGAGCTAGATCATAATTGTCTTCTAAGCATGATGTGACCCCCACGAGCTTGATGATGTCACCGTATTGTAGACCTTTGTTAACGTATTGCATCCATGAACCATTTTTCCACGACAAGTTACCTCCAATATCGTGATGAGAAGCGATTATTTTCGAGAATCCTTTCGCCTCAACGACTTTTCGTAAAAGCTCATCCGGAAATGAAAGCTCTAAATCGATATACTCAAATCCCATTCTGATAGCCAATTTGTATAATTGAAGAGCTTCGGCGACCGATTTGTCCGGAAATCTTCCCCCTTGACTAACAGTGCGGATGGTGAAAATCACGGGCGTTCGCACTAGTGATCTTATATAAGCAACTTGGATGCTTAAGAAATCGTTTGTGGGGATGTTGTGTTCCGCTTCAGGGTCCTGGAGTAGGTCTATGCGCAACTCGACAGCATCTGATCCGACAGCAACCACAGGGATCAGGGCCTCTGTTTTTGAAATATCAGGTGTGGTTAAGGAAACAAAGAATGAATCTGGTTTTCTCTTCATTTCCTCTAAATGATTATTTTGACCGCACAGGAACTTTATAAATCGAGCGAAACTATCTTGGGAACACGAAAGCATGCCGCTTTGACTGCTCCTATTGTGGTACTGGAAGTTACTACACTCCTGGAACCATGGCTTGCGTCGTAAATAAACATTCATTGTATCCTCAATGTATGAAGGTCTCGTCTGATCGGTCTGAAGGAACTCCATAATTTTTGCGGTATCCCGATGCACAAAAATTACAATTCCTCCTGATTTATGATAGTCTGTTAGTAATTCCCGTGCTCGAGGTATCTCAACAATGCCACCACCACAAGCAAATATATGGCCAACAGGTTTTTCGGACATCACCTGTTCAAGAAGAGCAAGTTCAGCTTTTCTAAAGCCTTCCCATCCCTTTTCTTTAATTATTTGAGGAATTGTTGAGCAGCTTATCCGCTCAAGTTCCAGATCAAGATCGATATGAGGTCTCCCTAAAGCTGTCGCTGCCCATCCTCCAACGGTAGTTTTGCCGGCACCTCTCATTCCAATGAGAAAAATTGACTTTTTCGACATCTGTGAAGCAACTTTTAAGCCCAAATGTTCAGCTTGAACTTGTTTACCACACAAATTTACTCGAAACGATAAAGATAAAACGTCCCACCAACCAGGCCATGTTTTTTTTACACATTCACGTTCCTTTATTATCACAGACCTAGATACAGCTAGAGACAAGACACTAAAGCTCATTGCCACACGATGATCATCATAGCATTCAACTCCATTTTGTGGAATATCTAAGTCTGAAGCCAGCTGTCCATCTATTTCAATCCCATCTTTGAGTTCTCGACAGGTGACACCAAATTTCGCAAGCTGATCTTTGATTGCGACAATACGATTGCATTCTTTTACTCGTTGATTGGCAATACCTCGAATCCTTGTGGTGCCTTTAGCGACTGCAGCAAGTGAGGATGCAGTTAAAAATGCGTCCGTCATAGGTTCCATGTCAATCTCATCAATAGCCACTAGGCTCCCTGGTTCAGGGCCAGTAACGGTCGTTGAGTTTAAAGTTTGAATTACATTACAGCCCATAGGGCGGAGAACTTCAGTTGCAAAACGTGCATCTCCCTGGAGAGAGCTTGAGCCTATATTTGGTACTGTGCAAGTGGTTCCGGATATCGCCGCCACAGCTAAAGGATAAGTCGCAGAACTCGCATCGCTCTCTACGAGATATTCATCGGGATTAATGTAAATACCTTTAGGAATATGATATGTATGTTCCTCAGTTTTAGACCGAACAATATTGATTCCAAAAGAGGCCATCATTGCAGCGGTCATATCAATATAGGTTTGTGAGATTGGTTTTCCACCGACAAGTCGTAGTGTTACCGGCTTTCTGGCATAAGGCGCACACATCAGAATAGATGACACATATTGGGAAGAAATCGTAGCTGAAAGCTCTATTTCACCACCATCAAATCCGCCTGAAGCCGGTATTTCAAGTGGAAGGCTGTGAGGTTTCTCAATGTACCTAATATCAACACCGTTAGTTCGAAGAGAGTCAACTAGTGGTCCGATTGGTCTAGTTTTCATGCGAGAATTTCCTGTAAGAACTGTAGACGAAGCAATTGATGGTTTGCAAAGAGTTGCTAAAGTTGTAAGAAACCGTGACGCTGTACCAGCATTCCCAATATATAGCTCTGAAGGATTTGCTCGCAAGTTACCTCCATTGCCATGGACGACTAAAACCTCACCAGCCTCCTCCCAGGAAAAAGTTGCCCCCCCGAGTTTCATTATTGCAGCGAGCATGAATTCCGTATCATCTGAATGAAGCAAGTTTTTGATACGACATGGACCATTACCTAGGGCAGCGAGCATAAGCGCACGGTTTGAAATACTTTTTGAGCCTGGTGGAATAACTTCAGTAGTCAAACTTTTGGGCACACCTGGAGTCACTTCTATGCCATCGGACAGAATGATTTCAATATCATTATCATTAACAAATGATGCCTTTTGTTCATGGGTTTTTCCAATGGAAGAAAGTAGTACAATCTTCTTTTTCCTCCCATCGTTCTTTTTGTCAACTCCCATTTTTTTCAGTACCAGATCTGAAGGACAAAGTTTTCCAGCAGTCAATTTTTGTATCCGACTATCTTGCAAAGAAGTAGGAAGCCCGTAAGATGAGATACATTTCGTTAGGCGGGCAACAGCACCTGGACGCAAAACCCCAAGGTAGCGCGCTAGCTCAGCTTCTTTCACCATACCAATAGCTACAGCTTCACCGTGGAGAATTTGAGGAGTGAGAATTGCTTCGTATGCATGTCCAATGGAGTGCCCGAAATTCAATAAGTTTCTTAGCCCTGATTCTCGCTCATCTTCAGAAACAACTTTTGCTTTGACAGAAGCTGATCCCAAGACTATTCGCTTGAGTAAAGCCCTAATTGAGTTTAGTCGATTTTTTGAGCCTAATGATATCTTATCATTTATAGTTGACATGATTAGGCTAGCATTATCTTCTAGGGCGCAAAATTCGGCCTCATCCCAAATCGCCGCAGTTTTGATGACTTCAGCCATACCGTTGGTAAATTCGCGTGGTGGCAAAGTTTCAAGAAATTTTAGATCAATATAAATCCTTTCAGGCTGCCAGAATGCACCTATTAGGTTTTTGCCCATGGGAGTATCAATTGCTGTTTTACCACCAATAGAGGAATCAACCATAGCTAGTAAGGTAGTAGGTACCTGGACAAAACGTACGCCCCTCATAAAAGTTGCTGCCACATAACCGATCATATCCCCAATGACACCTCCTCCCAAAGCGATAATAACAGTATCCCTGGTACAATTTTCAGAGAGCATCCAATCTTCAATTTCAGCTTTTGTTTCTCTTCCCTTAGAGGTTTCTCCAGGAGGTATTGCATGGGTAAGAATCCTTGGTGACGATTGTAGCTCGCAGCTAATACTTTGAAATGCCTGTTGAAATACTGGTACATAAATTGGGGATATGTTAGTATCAGTTATGAGAACATATGTTGAAGATGGTATGTTTGAGATGAGATCCTGGGCTACAAAGCTACACCAAATGTTGAAATCAACAATGATACTCTCCCGGCCTAGAATTGCGATACGCGTGAGTCCTGTAGTATCATCCATATCAGCGAGAGTTGAATTCTGGTGTATAATTTAAGTTCTTTGTAGAATTTGCCAAGTAAAAAAACTACGCTTTATTGCGAGAAGTTGTGTTAATGTATGAACGTCGAAGTTCGATAATTTTCAAACTGGAGTAAAATTTTATTCCAGGGGATATAAGGTTTACCAACTATTTGAAGTTAATGTGACAGGATGACGTAGTCTAGACTTCTTAGACAGGTCCACACAAATCAGACCATCTCATCCGACACAAACAAGACGAGCGTTTATCTAACCCTAATTAACCACAAATAAGTTGCATTGGCTGCTTACTCCGATAGGCACCAGATAAAACAGAAAAAAAGATTCATTTGTACGAAGGTGGCGCTCTACACAGCCTTGATCTAGAACTGAGACTACATACTACAAGGCTTCGGTTCAAATGCCAAAACAAAAGTACCTATCCATAATCAACCTCTCTTAACTCTAATTTTTGACATTAATTCAACGACCGCACAAACCTAATTACAAAAATTCTCACAAGGTTTGGGTGGTTGTCCGTCAGCTTTAGAAGATTAATTGACGGAAATGTAAATTTTCGACATGAAATTTATAAGAAAAATCATGCTATACATCAGAAATAATTATGGATAAAAAATGAAAAATAATGGTAAGGGAACCTATGATGCCTAGCAACTCTGTACGCGTCAAGCCTTCCGAAATTCAAACACTAATACTAACAGTACTGAAAAAGCCTATCTGAATTGAGTTACGCCGCCTCTTCAAGCAACATATGCGAGAAGCAGTTATGAAAAAAGCGCCAGTATCATCTATTCACGATATAAAGCTCTCGGATATCATTAACCTAGGGTTATTCGTTTGGGAAAATTTCTCTAAAAGTATGCACAGAGTGTGCTACACTGTTACTATACGATTTATTGAAGAAAAGCCTTTTTTTTAACAAAGAAAATAAAACAGAGCCTAGGATGTGGAGATATGGGGAGATTAAAACGTCGGAAAACAGGCCTCCTCAAGGACAAAATTTACTTCTTTTTGCCCAAATTTCATAGCCTTATGAGAGATCTAAAGCAGAAGTTGATCGACGAGTGGTAAGGAGAACTTTTCCCATAGAAGACAAATACTGGGCACCTGGTTGTGGTGTCTTCTAAGAACCTAGGAGTAAAATACTCATTCAGAGCCAAGTTCAACCAAGTTTCGCATTACCAAAGAGGTTGGCCCACGAGGCAATGATTCAAAATATTTCACAAAGTCAAGTTCTCACTCCCAACAAGATCGACTCCTACCTAAATCTCATCAAGTCCATAAGTACGACCAAGCACATCCTCATTTCAAAAACACCCCTCTCACTGATTATTCTCCAGCCTCAGCTGGCCACCAGATACATACTCGCGCTGATAATTACACACGACAGAGGAAAAAAACTCTAGCACACAAACCTTTAAAGCACTCCTTTGGGATGGACGTGAGAGGGACCAGGACAGGTTTACAAGATGATGCAAAGGAAGGATATAACCTCGACAGGTGTGAGATTTTGAATTCAGGCGAGAAGTCTCACAAATTGAAGAGAACTATTCGCGTCAAGACTTCGATTGTTAGGGTTCGGCTGAGACTATAAAAGCAAGTCGGCCATGTTAGATGCAGTAGCCTGCCTCCTGGTGGTGATCTTCAGTATACTTTGAATAGTCTGAGCACCTACTCCACTTGAGAACAAGACGCCTCAATCCAAATTTCGCGCGGAGAGAAGTAAATGAATGAATGGGGCTTGTCCAGATGATTCAGAGTTCTTGAGACGTTTCCCTGGATGGGTATTCATGGGTGAGGGCTGAATTGGGGTGAAGGATAAGCCACCACAACTTCGTAATGGTACTTGTAAATGAAATCTGAGGCATGATAGCTCTGTTTTTGAATTGAGTCAATCATTATATTTTTACATCTGATAATACATTCTAGTTAGATAGCTGCACATGCAATTAAAATATTATACAAAAAATAAAAAATAAGAGAAGGGACCCTACACAGGTATCCTCAGTCTTCCACGAATCTAGAGATAAATTTTCCTTACGCTGAGATTCAGACGCGATAAAAATATTACATGAGCGATTCCGTCAAGTTGACGATTAGTTCTCAAGACGCCGTGTTATCGGTAATCTGTAGGCTGCGAGTATGTTAGAGGTGTGGAGTATAGTGATGGTTCCTATGAAGTGATATGAAGTCAGCGTAAGATGTAGGGTTCACGGAAGAGGTAAAGGTAGAGTGAGTAATAGGTGAGGTTGGTACAAGAGTAGCGGTCTTCTTTAGAGAAGAGATAAGTACGTGAATAATAGGTATCAGTATAAACAGAAGACGTTGCGTGAAGAAGAATACTCCTTCACGCTGGGTTTATATGTACATTAGATTATAGGAAAGCCCTAAGCTCTGTATCGAACAGTGTTGCTACGCAATTCCCATGAAACGAGCCTATATTCCTGAGTATGTACTATTTTTTTAGGAACTCGATCTAACACCGAGTTGTGTTTTGGAATAGAATTCCCCATGAAACACCATCCTAGCTCCCACTACGCTTATCCATGAAATTGGTAGGAACGGCATTGGCAAGTTTTTGGTTGAATACTCTACCTACAAAAATTTCAAGCTCGCACAACCCACCAAAATCAAACATCTACACCCCTAATGTGAGCCGTAGATAGTCTGAAGCCCGTCTAGTGTTCTTATGAAAGCAACTGATCTTCCTCACCTCTCAACTTTTCAAGGAAGAACTTCCCCGGTTAACTCATATTGCGACCCACCGAAGGATCACTGAAACTTGGAGTTAAAATCAGGTGTGATGTGATGTGATCTAATTATTGTACAACTTGAGCCATAGACTATCTAGCACAGACTCACATCTATGTAGCCAGATCGACAAAACAATTCGACCTGGTCTAAGTGCCGCGATACCGGTCTGGAAGGGGGACTATTCTCAACACCTGTCAGCGGCGTCCCCTACGAACCTCCAGCTCTCACTGTAGAGTCTGCAGAGCCGAGATTGAGTAACAAAGTCCTCACTTCGAAGAGGATTCCTAATCGCTTTCGCCGTCTGTATTGTCTTCATCTCTCAACACATTCCCCTATCACCATTATCATGAAGCTAACCACGATCAGATCAGATGGTAGGGTCGGAGTCCTACTCATCACCAACCCTTGATCATGGAGGAGATGCCATCCTGTGAGTTTCCGGAGTGTAGCCAGCACCCGATACGGAGATGGTGGATTGGATCAAGTCGGCCTCGACTGTTACAAAGAAGGGAGATGTAGATGAATATGCGCACCTCATGTGGTCCCGGTGTCTAGGCCTCGCCTGGCTGGGGCTGCAGGCTTTTTGAGACTTTTTCCCGCGCACGCAGTTTCCATTGCTACCATTTTTATTTTTTTTGAGTAGAAGGTTCCGTGGAAAAGGTGGCTAAATTCCTCGGGTAAATACTGAGCTGAATGGCTATTCATCAATGGGAATATATCAATGATCTTTCAAGAAAAATGAGAGGCAAGGAGCACTGTACAAGGTGTGGCCTGGGTCAGAGAGGAGCCCAATGTGCTAGATAGTCATAGACTCAAGTAGCACAATAAACACAAACACACACACACATACCGGTCTGGAAGACTTCGCCTATTGTCCTTCTTCATAGAGAAGGGGCCATCGCACCGGCGAAGATTTTCCTCGAAGGAATTCGACTCCATCTAGCAGCCAGGATTCAGTCGCCCGATGACTGTCATCCTCTCCGGAACCGCGCAAGCGGGCGCCCTAACGTTGGCTCGCAGAAGTACAAGCTAAGGAAGAAAGTCAGGCGCCAACCAGAAACCCAAATGTCGCGCCTACAGCATAGTATTCGACAGCTCCTGGAGTCATGCGAAGAGGCAGAAAGGCTGGCAGGCCCAGTGTACACATCAAGTCTTGAAACGAAAGAAGAGGGAGTCAAAGCACACTACAACTATGCTAGCAAGATCTCTCCCACTGACATATGCGCCTACTCTGATGGGTCATCTGAAGGCGACGGACGATCCTCGTGGGGAATTATCCTCCAACGCGGAGGACAAACATTCGCACAAGGTCACGGTTGTCTACATGGCGGTGAAGTTTATGTTGCAGAAATCGCAGGAGCCGCAGTAATACTTCGGGAAGCTATGCGTACTCGAAAGAATAGTGAGAGAATCTTCGTTCTTCTTGATAATCGGGCAGCTGTACTTGCGCTTCGGACGGGGAAGTCATCATCGTCGCTGCAGATAACCCGTGTCTTTTACAAGTTCGCTTCAGAAGCGAACGCGACAGTTAGGTGGGTGTCTGGACACTCCAATATTAGTGGCAATGAAGAAGCGGACGTAGAGGCCCGAGCCAGTCTTCAGCTGCTGCCAGATAGACAGACGCAGCCAGTGCAGACAACGCAGGCATACATACGCCGTTTGATGCACAATCGCTGACAGAAACTGGTAGAAGAAGTCGGATCCGGACAGATATCGAGACCTGGACTTACACATGCGACGTCGGAAACCACCAGAACTAGGGCTCCCTCGACGATTACTCCATAGGCTCCTGGCAGCAAGATCAAGACATGGAGACTTTGCGGACTATCATCGCCGCCTGAACCACGAAGATGCGAGACAGGAATGCGTCTGTGGGCAGAGGACAACGCCAACTAACTTTGTCCGATGCCGGAAGAATGCCGCTATAATGCGCAGGCTGAGGAGATCCATGGCCGTGGAGGACTATACCAACCAACTCCTTGGACCGGAAGGTTTCGAGAAGTTCATAGAATCTGCAAGGATTACCCGCAGCTTTGGGAGCATAGATGCAGACCCGCCCTCAGCTGGATGCGAGGGCCAAAGTAATTATTTTGTCAGGACGAGAGAAATTACTGAGGGGGGCATAGGATGAGAAATACTGGCACCGCTCCTTCATGTTAATTTGCTTTGTTTCAGTTGGTTTTGTTTGTTATTTCTTTTTGTTTTTGGTTGTTGTAATCAAAGTCGTA